ACAATGCGAAATTTTTATAAATTTATATATTTTAAAAAATAAAAAATATTTATATTTTATATGTATTACGAAATATTAATTTGAATCTAATCAAAATTTGTAAATAATCATATTTTTCTTTGAGAAACGTTAATGTTTAACACATAATATTGGGAATTTAGGGTTTCATATAATAATTTCGTTAATCATATAATTAAAAAAAAAGTATTTAAATATATAATTATAATTATTTAAATTCTTTTAACTTTTGTTGTTTGGAGAGGGATTAACACATATTAAAGTAAATTTTTTTATTTTTATAATTTTTTTAATCATTGATTTAAATAACTTTAAAAGAAGAAATTAAATTATTTTTTTATTTATCTTTATTATTTTTTAAATCTATTAAAATAAATTATTACGAAAAGATATACAAGTAAAAAGTTTTATACTAATATAAAAATTTTATTTGTATCTATCATACAATTTATATATGATTTTTTTTTATTTTTTGTTTGATACAATAAATATTTATTATTTATTTATCCTCTCCTCTCTATTCTCTCTCTTCGTTATATGGTTTCCTTGAACTTTCTTTCTATATTTTTTTTCTCTTAAAATGTTTTAAAAAATTATAACTTTCTTTCTATATTTTCTTCTCTTAAAATGTTTTAAACAATTATAAAACAAAAAAATGAAAGATCAAAATGCCTTTAATATTAATTTAACAAAAATAGACGAAAGCTTCACCAATAATGCTAAAAAATGAAACGAGAAAATCACATATAAAATAGTTGGTAAACAAAGTGCAATAACATACGATGTGTATTTTAATTTCAATAAGTTAAACATATATTTTTTAAATTCAAGAAGCGGTGTTAAAAAATTATCATGTATGTTTTGTTTTTTATATTAATTTTAATTTTTTAATATATTCTTTAAAAAATGTGATAATCGTCTTAGTTATGTTGATGACGTATATATAAGAATCTATTGATATTTTATGACATAAATTTTCATGTACGATGAGGAGTTGGTAAGAACAGTAAAACTGTGATTCGCACATGCCTATATAAACAATTATTTCTTAAGCAGAATGGGCAGACTACCAAATAGACAAATGGAGCAAGTTGAGATATATATGAAAGATAAAAGAATTATGGCCGGTACATTTAAAAAAAAAAATCTGGCCTACTAGAACTCGTCATTGTGAGTTTGGGAAGTTTTCGAGAAAGCATGAGGGAAAAAAAAAAGACCTCATGGAAGTCTTCTTGGAAAGAAATGGCATGTTGCTAACTATGTGACTGAAATGGAAAACGAATGGCAAGAAACAAATAAAATAAAATAATAAACCTTCGGCAACCCATCTTTGAATTTGGGAAAGGAGACAAAAATACTGGCCCACCATGTTCCCTCTAAAGTACAATCAAGAAGATTAGGAAAGTATATTTAAAAAAAAAAAAGACTAGGAAAGTCCAAAGAAACAATTCTACTTTATTTTTAATGAATCTAACTAATCTTTATATACTTAATAACATAAAATAATATAAGATAGAAAGAAGCAGTTTTGGATTTTTTTTGTTTTTCTACTGCTTAGCTTTGCTTAGCACGTAACAAAATAAAAAACATTTGTTGTTTGGGATTGGATGGTTCTTAGAGACTTATTGAATAGAGTGTTTGATAAATTATTTGTGAAAATATTCGATTTTTTAATTTTTATTTATTTATTAAATTAAATAAATAATTTTAAATAATATTTTTATATTTATTTATTATGAACCAAACACAAATAAAAATATATTAATGTTGTTTTTAGCGATAAGTTTATGAATTTATGTTTTATTATATTTATAAGTTTAAATTAAACTTTTATATTTAAATTTAAAATTATTATTTTACTTGTATCTATCAATTTGAATTTGAATTTAAATTTGAGCATACATAATTAAATTTAAAATTGAGTATGAAAATTAAATTTATTTTAATCAAACGAGTTTAAATAATTTAATTTTTATCTTAAATTAAATTTAAATTTAAAAATTAAAATTTGATCGAATACAAATGAAATTTCAAACAACTAAATTCTGGTTGAACTCAATTTTCTCACCACCCCCCATATAACCAACAAATGAACTCAACATGTTCGGGGAAAGCTATGAGAGAAAGTCCAAAATGTGAGTAGGTGGCCTATTTGTTAAGAAGAATGGGCAGACTTCCAAATACACAAATGGAGCCAGTTGAGATACATGAAAGATAAAAGAATATGGCCGGTACTTTAAAAAAAAAAAATCTGGCCTACTACAACTCCTCATTTTGAGTTTGGGGAGTGTTCGAAAATGCATAAGGGAAAAAAGAAAAAGAATACAAAAGACGTCATGGAAGTCTTTTTGGAAAGAAATGCATGTTGCTAGCTATGTGACTGAAATGGAAAATGAATGGCAAGAAAAAATAATAAAATAATAAGCCTTCAAGAAGCCATCTTTGAATTCGGGAAAGGAAACAATAATATTGGCCCATCGTGTTACCTCCTCCAAATTTGAATTTAAATCTAATTTAAATTTAAAAATTAAAATTTGCTCAACTACGAGACGAATTTCAAATAATTAAATTCTGAACTCAAATTTCTCACCACCCTCCGTATAACCAACAAATGAACTCGACATGTTCGGGGAAAGCTATGAAAGAAAGTCCAAAATGTGAGTTGGTGGCCTATTTGTTAAGAAAATGGGCAGACTTCCAAATACACAAATGGAGCAAGTTGAGATACATGAAAGATAAAAGAATATGACCGGTACATTAAAAAAGGAAAAAAAAAAGTCTGGCCTAGCACAACTCTTCATTTTGAGTTAGGGGACTGTTCGAGGAGGCAAATAAAAAAAAAGACCTCATGGAAGTCTTATTGGAAAGAAATGCAAGTTGCTGACTATGTAACTTTCAAATGGAACATGAATGACTAGAAAAAAAAATAAAATAAAACAATAAGCCTTCAATACCCCATCTTTTAATTCGGAAAAGGAGACAAAAATAATGGCCCACCATGTTCTCTCCTCCAAATTACAATCAAGAAGACTCGGAAAGTCTATTTAAAAAACAAATTGCTAGGAAAGTCCAAAAAAACCATTCTACGTCATTTTTAATGAATCTAACTCACCTTTATACATTTATCAAATAAATAAAATAATATGAGATCGAAAGAAGCAAAAGTTTTGGATTTTATGGTTTTTTTACTGCTTAGTACATAACAAAATAAAAAACATTTTTATTTGGGATTGGTTGTCTTTCAATTTAATAATGAGACAAAAGTTCTGGGTTGATCGAGATTACTTTTGTTTTTTTTTTTTTAAATTAATTTCAATTTTTATGAAAACAACTTTTTTTTTCAAAAAAATAAATATATTCTTCCAACATCAAGAATTGCATCATCTTCACATGATAGCAACTAGGATCACGAAAACAACGTGTTCTTTTTTTTTTTTTCAATTTCAACTAATTGAACAAAAACAAAGCCAAAACCCTTGAAAACATAAAACCAAAAATTAGCATTATTTGTCAACAATTCCAAACCACCCTTGTTATCAAATTTGTTCTTAGTTTCATCAAATTTTAACTTGTCTATTGCTTGTAGGTAAAACTCCCGTAGCAATATATATATATATATATATATAATATACATACTAGAAAAAAATAACCTTCAAAAATGTGAAATTTTTATAAATTTATATATTTTAAAAAATAAAAAATATTTTATATTTTATATGTATTACGAAATATTAATTTGAATCTAATCAAAATTTGTAAATAATCATATTTTTCTTTGAAAAACGTTAATGTTTAACACGTAATATTGGAAATTTAGGGTTTCATATAACAATTTCGTCAATCATATAATTAAAAAAAGAGTATTTAAATATATAATTATAATTATTTAAATACTTTTAACTTTTGTTGTTTGGAGAGGGATTAACACATATTAAAGTAAAATTTTTTATTTTTATAGTTTTTTAATCATTGATTTAAATAACTTTAAAAGAAGAAATTAAATTATTTTTTTATTTATCTTTATTATTTTTTAAATCTATTAACATAAATTATTACAAAAAGATATACAAGTAAAAAGTTTTATACGAATATAAAAATTTTATTTGTATCTATCATACAACTTATATATGAATTTTTTTTTTAATTTTTTGTTTGATACAATAAATATTTATTATTTATTTATCCTCTCCTCTCTATTCTCTCTCTTCGTTTTACGGTTTCCTTAAACTTTCTTTCTATATTTTTTTTCTCTTAAAATGTTTTAAAAAATTATAACTTTCTTTCTATATTTTCTTCTCTTAAAATGTTTTAAAAAATTATAAAACAAAAAAATGAAGGATCAAAATGCCTTTAATATTAATTTAACAAAAATAGACGCAAGCTTCACCAATAATGCTAAAAAATGAAACGAGAAAATCACATATAAAATAGTTGGTAAACAAAGTGCAATCACATACGATGTGTATTTTAATTTCAATAAGTTAAACATATATTTTTTAAATTCAAGAAGCGGTGTTAAAAAATTATCATGTATGTTTTGTTTTTTATATTAATTTTAATTTTTTAATATATTCTTTAAAAAATGTGATAATCGTCTTAGTCATGTTGATGACGTATATATAAGAATCTATTGATATTTTATGACATAAATTTTCATGTACCATGAGGAGTAGGTAAGAACAGTAAAACTGTGATTCGCACATGCCTACATAAACAATTATTTCTTAATTAATTAATTGAAAATGTTTGAATAAAAAATAATATTTAAACTCGGAGACCAAAAGCTATTGTTTGTTTATTCAGCAAAACATAGTACTAAGCATTCTTAATAATAAACACTAATAATATTTAAACTCTCAAAGCGTAGACTAGAGTCTCTCTCTATATATATATTTATGGCTTTATGCCTGAACTGTTCCAAGCCTTCAAATTGTGACTCCTCTTGACATTATAAGTTAGTAAAAAGGAAAAAATAAATCATCATGTCCCTCCATTACACGTCGGAAAAAGAGCACAATCAGGTTACAATTAAATTCTTGCTCTTGCTTCTTTTATCATATTTTCTTTATACTGCTTTTGTCTTTTTTTTATTATTATTTTTAAATATTAAAAATCATAAAACTTTAATTTTATAAAAAAAATTTTAATTTTAATATTAAATAAATTAAAGTCAAAACTTTTTTTTTAAATTATGTGAAAATCAAATACAAGAAAAACAAATTAAGATAAAGAGAGCATATATTTACAATTAAACCCAAACCTTCATTACTTTTAATATTTTGTGTATATAGAAGTGGATATTTGCTGCATTTTTGTGTGTTACTGGTTTCATTGACATAAAATTTCATGGTATAACCTATATAGGTACTGTTTGAAGGAGATTTATTAGTGAAGAAGGTGATTTTAAATAGACCCAAGAAGTTAAATATCCTAACTTATGAAATGGTGAGATTTTATAGTTATTATATATTATACCTACTAAATTTTAATTCTTCTATTTTATGAAAATATTTATACATATAAATGGCATTGTTGAATGAACACTACTTGGTTTGCAGGTTTGTCAAATGCTAACAAAATTCCAAATATACGAGGAAGATTCTACAACAAATTTTGTAATTTTGAAGGTAAAATTGATCATCAGAATCCAAAAACATAATGAAGAATTAATGATTTTTTAATTAATTTGTTTTAGACTTACTGTAAAAAAAAAAAGAAAAAAAAAGAGAGTTTTAGACTGGTCATTGTGTTGCTTCACTTTCCAGATGCATATCCAAACAACTGACACATTTATTATCGCTAATGATCATAAGTTGTGATCTTGTAGGGCAACGGAAGAGCATTTTGTGCCGGGGGTGATGTTGTTTCCGTAATTGGTGCTAGCAAAATAGGTCAAGTTTGGTTGGGCTTGACTCGAGTGGAATCTTGCACTTATAAGATTTTGCCTTTCAAATCTAACTTGAAATATTATTTTATTAATAATTTTTTTTTATTTTAAAATATTTGAATAGTTAGATAAAAATAAATTTTAATATTTATATTGTAATAGGTTTAAACTGGGGTTTATAACTAGGTGGAGTTAGACTTTGGACAAGTTATTGAAGGTGTTAACGGGGTCGGCTCTTGTCTGATCCTGTTCATAGATGCTTCTTATACAATTACTCTTTTTTATTTTTTAATATCTATCAATTATATATGTTTTGTTCATATATAATATAAAATCCCCTATCATTAACTAATCAGGTCATTGGAGTTTCGGAGCAAATTTTTACCGAAAACAATATGCTTTAGACTACCTACTTGCAACATATAAGAAACCCTTGGTAAGTTGCAGTAATTTCGAACCACTACAGTTAATTATCTCTTAATTCGTTGGAAATTATGTATAACTAATTATTCTTTTTCTTTTCATTTGGATTAATGAAGATTTCACTTATCAATGGTTTTGTTATGGGAGGTGGTGCTGGCTTATCTATTCATGCAAAGTTTAAAGTTGTTACTGAAAATGCTGTAAGTCTTTTTTTCCCTCTTTTTTTTTTTTTTGCTTTTAGTACAAAAAAATGTAGACACATTAAAAGGAGCTTGGTAAAACTAGTAATTATATTACTTTGAAATATATAATTGATTATGTGGAATTTACTAGAATTTAATGCACATAAATATTACTTGATAAGAAAAATAATGCAATTACTAGCTTATTGAAAAAGAAATTACAAATTTAAAATTAATTAGTTTATGTAAATGGCAACTTGAACAGGTGTTTGCCATGCCAGAAGCATCAATAGGGCTTTTCCCTGATGTTGGTGCTTCCTATTTCCTTTCTAGACTTCCTGGCTATTTCGGTAACAGTTTCTTTTCCTGATCGACGCAAACGTACAAAATTGAAATTAAACTTGAATGCAATTAACAAATTAATAGTTTTGTTAACTTAATCCTCCATGTCAAATATTAATGAAGGAGAATATTTGGGACTAAGTGGAGCAAGGTTGGATGGAACGGAAATGCTTGCTTGTGGACTTGCGACTCATTTTGTTCTGTCCAAGGTAAATTCTTGATACTTCAAGGGATTTTCTTTCCCCAAATACGACGCTATTAACAAAAAGCATGACACTTGATATGTTTTAGGACCTAATTTTGCTCGAAAATGAACTTGATAAAGTGGGAACATCAGACACAACAAAGATTGCCAGGAAAATTGACACATTCTCGAGTGCAGCACCTGTTAAAAGAGAGAGTGCTTATGCAAGGTAATAATAATTGTTCACTCATATATATTCCTCTTCTATATATTTGCATGGTTTTATTATATTTTTGTTTCTTAATATCTTTGCGTTGAATTTAGATTGGAGATTATAAACAAATGTTTCTCAAAGAATACTGTGGAAGAAATATTATTAGCCCTTGTAAGTATGTATATCTTAACACATTTTTCTATGATCAAGAAAAAAGGAACGAAATTAGAAATTAATAAAACAAATTTGCTTGCTTTTTGTATGCAGGAGAAGGAGATAGAACATAATGCGGGAAAATGGATGATGGAGGCTGTGAAGTCCATGAAAGCTGCTAGTCCTACTAGCCTTAAAATTTTTCTCAGATCAGTACGCGATCTATGATATGCATATATATGTTTTATTTATTTAAAAAAAAAAAAAAACAATAATTTTAAATAGAAAGGCATTGCAATGGTTTGATATGGTTATGAATTTTTTGTTTAAATTGATCCTTGAATAGATCAGGGAAGGCCGAGAACAAACACTTGACCAATGCTTTGCACGTGAGTATATAACCTTATCTAACATTCTTCGAGGATCAATTGGCAATGATTTGTACGAGGTACTTAGGAATGAAAGATTGAAAATGTCCTAGTTTCAACATTAATTTAATTTGTTACTTCATAGTAATTAATGTAATGTTGCCTTAAAAATTTATACAATATGCTTGCAGGGTACAAGAGCGAAGCTAATTGAAAAGGACAATAAACCTAAGGTACTCGTAACATTATATGATGATATCTAATGTTTGCAACAATTTTTTCATACTTTTATAGAATAAAATTATAGACTATTTTCTATTATTATTCTTGAAATGTTGTCACATTCATCATGGAAAAAATTACTTATATTAAAGTGTACAAATGTTGGATGCTATATTTTCTTAGCAGAAAATAAAGAGAAAAAAGTGTTAATTAATAATTAAAACTTAAGAAAAATAGCTGAATCGTCTTCCTACAAAGTTAATTTAAGAGCAAATGGGTTGTTTTACTTGCATGTGTAAAATGAATTTAGATAATTAGTTAATTTGATTTTTGTTTTTTGATCATGTATAAATGCAACAGTGGGAGCCTTCAAATTTGCAGTCAGTGAACAAAGAAACGGTGAATCGTTATTTTACAGAGGTTGATGATCCACATTGGGAAGTCTTACGTCTTCCTGTTAATCGACGACAGCCCAACTCGGTTGATGCATTGAAATCCAAGATATGAACTATTCTCCTGTCTGGTCTTAGGTTGCTCCTTTCTGGTCTTGCCCTGTCAAAATAGGAACCCACGCCCCTGTGGAAACCCTGAAACCTTTCTACTTTTACTTTTTTTTAAAAAATAAATTATTATTTTAAGTGTGTTAAGTTATGATAGAGACTGTACTCTATTAATTCTAATTAAGCGATTTGTATGCTCAAAAATAATGAAGATTTTAAAATGATAATTAAAAAAACTTGAGAATAATGGAGGTTACAGAGTTTTCCCAATGTCTCTAGTTCTAAAAAAAATCAAAAGCTAATAAGGAACCTTTTTTGTTTCCTAGTTTTCTTGTGCTAGTTGTTGCAGTTTAAAAAAGTAGTATAAAATAAAACTTTCAACATATATTCCAAGCCAATCAAGGAAATGTTGAATGAAACTATATATGTGTATCTAGATTCTCAAATTTCGACCTCAATCGTCATCCTACAAAGTTAATTTAAGAGTTCAAATAGTGCAGGCATTCAAAATTGTAGTCAGTGAGAAAAGAGACGGTGAATCGTTATTTTTTACAGAGCTTTCATACAAAAGAATTATAAGTCAGAAAAGAAGAGATGTTGTAATAATAAGAATATCAAGAAGAAAATACTACATGATAGGGTTAATCCGTGAAAATGGAGCAATATGCATAAGTTAATGTGGCATATATTTAGAGATGGCAAAAGTTGAACTGATTCGAAAACACCGTTTGATTATTCCGAATTCAAACTTAATCAATATGATTGAATTAAAATGTCAACCACTCAAATTCAACCTAATTAGAATTCAAATTAACTTGAATCTAATATTCTGATCAAAATTTGAATTAATTCAAATTCAAATTAATTTGAGTTGACTTAAACCTAACTTGATAAAAAATTAAAGTAGTCAAATCCTAATTGATTCGAACATAAATTAACTCTTTTGATAAAAGATGATCAATTAATTAATTTAATTTTATTAGTTTATTATTTATTCATAAATAATAAATATAAAAACTAATTATTAATTGTAAACAAAGTATAATTTAGAGGTAGAATACTAATATTATATTTATAAATTTAATTATTAAATAGAATAATCTTATAATATATAAGTAATTAGTTTATATTAAGGTTAGTTGTATTAAACAATTAAATCTTTTAAGTCTTTTATGAACAAAATTTAAAAATTTCTATAATAAAATTTGTATATATACAATTATACTTATATTATTTTTATTTATATAAAATTAACACTTAAAATCAAATGTTATAACTTAAAAGATAAAATTTAAAACCAAATCAACCAAGTTAAGTCATGTCATCCTACTAGCCAATAGATAATTATGTTATCTTCATTTTTCATCGTACATTTGTATTATTTGCTATTCAAAAGATTAATTATTTAAATTAGATTAATACTATGTCTTAGTAATTTTGATTTTTTAGAAAACTTTCTAAAGTTTTAAGATTGCACCATTATATATACCAATTAAGTAATCAATACTAGTAGTATTCCTTTGGACATATTATCGTAATCTTTAGTGACGTCTGTGGTGATGAGTTTTCTTCAAAATTATCTAATTGTTTATTTATTTTTAGTTTATTACTAATTAGAGAGTAATATGAACCAATATGATTATATGGAATATAAATATAAACCACTAATAATAAATTAAAAGTTAATTCATGAAATGATGAAAATAATACTAAATATCAATTAATAACAATTTATTGATAAATTTTTATTATAAACAAAATTAATTTTATATTTAACGTAAGATAATTTCATATTATTAGTAAATTACTTTTAAATCATTTAACTTTGACATTTTATTTTTAATATAATTTAATTATATTTGTTTGATTTTAGAAATTAACATATTAAATGTAAATAACCAATGTGTTAAAACCTAATGATCCAAGGATCAAATTCGAAAAACCTAAAGTCAAAGTTTTTTAAACTCAAATTGACTTCACTGAACCTAAAATGATCTGATTTTTATTGATCCAAAATCAAAATGGTCTAAATTCAAAATAATTTGATTGTTTTTTTGACCCAAACTCAATTTGTATCCAAAGTAATTTGATCCAAAATAATCAAACTCGAAGCTAATCGACCCACGGTTTGCCACTTCTACATATAGTGATAATTGTTCAATAGTTACATAGGAGGTTATAATGTTCAACGGATAGTAATAGTGGAAAATCAAAATAATCCAGGCCTGAGTAGTTTGATCTCCGTATATCATTTGTGGGTTACAAAAAGAGTTCTTGAACAAAAGGTGCATGAATCCAAAAAGATATCGTGATGTGAGTAGAAGCTTCTTTATCTAAAAGGGCATTTTGATGGAAGTTCATGCTTAAACTCAGTCCGTAGGAAATTCTTGCTAGCAAAAAGCAGCGATATTTTGAGACTTTTTTGCTAACTATACAGACAAAAAGCAGCTATGTTCTCCAGGTAGTATAGAGGTAAGTATTCATTCCTCTTCTTTTTTTTTTCTCTTTTCCCCTCCATAAAAGATGTATCAAGTAATTGTTATTTTATTTTATATTGTAAAGCATAAAATAGGATGAAGTCCTTGATGGGATAAAAAAATCTCAAACAATATTCAAACCGAATATATCACACAATGAAAATATCAAATTATCCCTTTCTTATGAGAATCTCACAGGAATCAAACAAATAGAACTAACATATAAATCACCAAACCACAAGTACAAGGACACAAGCAATTTTCGTGAAAAACCTCCCCAAAATGAGGAGTAAAAACTAAGGGCAACAACAAATAATCTTCACTATCAAAATAATGGGAATACAAAGTTCTCTCTAGCTAGAACTAGAGGTATACAACCACAATATCTCAAGATTAAACAATCTTGGTAAAGAAACAATTTTATAAGAAAAAATTGGAGAAGTCTCAGCAAATTTAAGGGTTAACAAATACACACGAAATTAGTATGTAGAAAACTCGAAACCTGATCTCCACTATTCAAACTGAAGAACAATGAATTGTAAACACACTGATAAAATTTCTCAAATAAGTATATTAATCATGCAAACAAATATATTAGGCAAAAAAAATTATCTTGCAAATATAATATTAGTCATGTAAATTCATGCAAAAATAAATACCATGTAATAAAAATAAGACTAAGTAACTAAATATTATAAAAATTATGCAAAAACCGCAAAAAAATGAAAGAAAACATTACCTCCATGGATCACGATTTTCAACAATTTTTCACCTTTCAAAAAATGATGTTTACTATAAATCTTAGCCTTTCTTCCAAAAACTCTAACAGAATCTTCTTACAAATTTTTTTGCTTGATTGCTTCTTTCTTGTTAATTAAAACTTTGTCCAAATTTTCTCTCTTTTCAATGACCTTTGTTTGATATTGAAGTGAATTGCTTTAAAGCTCCCCTTTTGATCACAAATTCAAAGTCCTTATATAGGGTTTAAATCCCTTTTGATTTAAAAGAAATTAATTCAATTGAATCTTGAATTTCTCTCTAAATTTTATTTTCTGTGTAATCTTTCATTTTTCAATAGATTGAGCCCTAAGTCTTTCCAAAATTATTCAACCATTAAAGTTAAAATTTGAGATAGAATCCAAGAGTTGAATTGAATCCAAAATTTTTCATGCAAAAATCCATATTTTTCTTTTCTTTTTTTTTACCCCTTTTTTATTTTTTTTTTCCAATTGACTTTAACTCTTTTGACTAAAAAGCAAATTAAACCAAAATTAAACTAAAAACTTACAAAACAAATAAAATTTAGAGCTTAATCTTTGGGCCTAAAATTTACTTTTCTAATTAAGGCCCAATTGCATAATCAAAACCAAAATTTAAAGCCCAATGAATTTTAAAAAATCCCCAGAAAAATAGGGTGTCTACACTTGGTTATTTGTTAGTTGTTTCTAGGACAAGTATACTTTTATCTTTTTTTTTTTTTAAGTTGCAAATAAAATTTAGAGCTTAATTTTGGACCTAAAATTTACTTTTCTAATTAAGGCCCAATTGCATAATCAAAATCAAAATTTAAAGCCCAATGAATTTTAAAAAATCCCTAGACAAAATGGAGTGTCTACATTTGATTATTTGTTAGTTGTTTCTAGGACAAGTATACTTTTATCTTTTTTTATTTTATTTTTAAGTTGTTTTTGTAAAGATGAAGATATGTAAATGCTCTATGTAAAATTCAATTTTTGGCCTAAAGGGAAAACAAAGATAGGAGAGTGTTTCCTTTACCCTAGTTTTTTAAAGTTTGTTTTGAAATATTGTCCAATTTAAGTGTGGGAGAAGAGAAATTCTCTTTTGAGCTAAAATGTCATTTTCAAAATTTTTCCTAAATGCTCTATATTCAAACTGAATTGACTTACTATAATCATGATAATGCTAGCCTAGTTAATGTTTTATGAATTGTTCAAGATTGACTTAAGTATGATATGAGAATAATGACAAATGTAGTGAAGCATGAGATGATTTCTTTAATATATTTTTTAGTGGAGTATGATTTTATTATTTATGTTTTTAGTCTTGATTTTTGATATGCATCAATTTTGGTGATAAGCATGTAAGATATAAAGTTGCATAGAGATTTTAAGGTATGAATATGATTTTAGAATTTACCTACTCAATCCTTAAGGTGAAATTCTACACTATATCTGATTCAAGAGATGATTTAGGCATTTTTTGGACAGTTTGAGCCTTTTCAAGCCCACCTTTAATAATGCATCTTTGGTACTTTTGATTTTGAGCCCTTTTATATTTTCTTTCCTTTGTTATTATTTAGCCATAGTAATAAGCCCAAGCCTTTTCTTTGAATTTATCCTTCTTTTTGTTGTTACCCAACCTAATATTGGTTATGCATATTTGGACATTTCAAGAGAACAAATTTGGAAAGAAGGGAAGCGAAAGAAAATCAAGTAAAAAAAAATAAAAGCTTAACGAAAAAGAAAAATAAAATCCAAAAATGGCAATGTGAAAAAAAAAATTTGCCAAA